AATTAACTATAGGGGTTTGCCTCTATAGGGAACTTGGAACCCAGGTAAAATAAACCCTATTTAATCTTTGTATTAAATAGGGGAACTTGTCGGTCATATATAAAAGGTTCACAGACTAAACGGATGTCACAAATCTCTTAGTTTGCTGGATTGGGTCTATCGCCGAGGTCTACACTTATCTTTCGGGAGGGTGTAGTATTCGCGGTATCAGACATGATTATGCAAACTATTGGACGAATGAGATCCACTTGGTCTCATTTTTCAAAAATTAAAACATACTACTTTTAAAACTCAAACTATATATATCTCTTATATTTAAATTAAATTTCAAAAATTATTTTCATATACCATATTTTTCAAATCTAAATCTATCTATCGGAAAAAAGTTGACCGACAGTCATCTAAAAATTAACAATTGAAACCATGTCCAAGTGTCCCCACTTGTACACTCTTGGTGCTTTCTCACTCCGCTCCACTTCACTTTACCCCTCACACCACGTCAGGAGGTAGTAATAAATTGCTCATCACTCTTCCAAAAAAAATTACTTTTTTAGCTAAAAGAAGGAAATAGTCAAATATGATTATTTTGGTTTTCATGCATCCAACTGCAAATGAATCTGAATAACTTGTCACTTTGACATTGATCTAGGGATTTTGGATGATGTCTAGGGATCAAGGTACTGAATAGGATGTTTTAAGGGAGGATAGAAATGATGAGAAACCCAAAATAATAGGATTTAGAGTGGCTGGAAGGCCGGTCACTATTGTTGGAAAGGTTGCAGGGAGAAAATAGAGGTCAGTGACTAGTAGGAAGAAGATATATAGATGTTGAGATGGATCCACCATCTATACTCTATCAAGATACAACCACATCAGTTGAAAGAGAAATGCTACCACTCTTCAACTAGAAGAAACCAAATAAAAATCTCTACATTGCATAAAATCAAAACCAAAGTTCTATTTACACTGAGAAAGCAAGGTATTAACTCTTATTCTCGTCCTAACTTGGCCATTGAGAGCCTTAATCCATTGGAGGGGTGGCAACCCTGACTTGTCCTAGAGTTTCTAAACCAGTTGGACTGGTTAATGCCCCCTCCCTCATTCCACCAAGGAGCTCACATCCACATCATTCTCCTTGGGTAGGAGAGCTTCACTTTCATCATCGGGAATATCTAGATACTCATAATATGATGAAAAATCTGCAACGTTGAAGGTGACATATTTTGTAATTGTCAAGTAGATCAATATTTTTTGTATTGCCATTGATTCTCTTGATAAATCTGAGTTAGCTACCAGCTCTAAGTTTGAGTTTTCCAGATGTAATTATAGAAAATTTCTCATTCTTCAATCTATTTCATACCAAGTCACCTTCCTTGAAAATCTTGACATCCTTAGACTTAATAGCCTTCTGTTGGTATTTGCCATTTTGTTTGATGATTTTTTTTCACCTTCTATGTAAGGCCTAATCTTCTTGATCCTGATCTCTGCATAAGTACTAGGATCAGTGTTTAAAAGCAAAGACACTTCAATGATGTGAGAGGATCCCGCCTATAGACTTTCAAAATGGTTGTGACCTATAGACTGGCCAATCAACCGGTATTAAGCAAGCTAAATATAAAGAAGAATCAAGTCCTTCTTCGTGATATTCTTACTCACAAAAGTATCTAATAAGATTTTTTTTAATTGACTAAATTTGTCTGTATATTTGTTTTGGACAAGTTGTTAAATTGAATTGAAATTTAGCACCTAGCTTACCCCATAAGATTCTTCTAACATAACTGAAAAGATTTCACATAGTTGTTCGAAGTGATGGTCTTGGCACATCATGAAAACATACTATCTCTCTGAAGTAGAGATTAACAATATGCAAAGCATTTATCATATTGTGGTAAGATACATAAGAGATATATTGGAGAAAAAGTCTTTCACTTTCATAATAGAATCCATAATTCGTTGTTTCTGGGGCTGACTCATAATAAAGACCACACCTACATTTGCTCAAGGTAGCTCTGGACAGGAAACGACATAAAGAGACATGTATTACTCTTGGGCCTTAGCTAAAGTGCACACCCTGCACCATCGGAGGTATCTCTTCATGTCTCATATCAATCTAGGTCAAATGAAACTCTCTTTTACAAAAAAAAATGTTTATCTTTGCCAAAAGTTGTCATACCACCATTATGACTTGTTTATAAAATAGCCTCCTTACACAACTTGTTTTGAAAGAATAAAAACCATCAAACTTATGATATTGGTCATTTGTATGGGTGTAAACAAGTCGAGTCGAGCTTGAGTCACCCCGCTTGAGCTTGATCTTGACTAATTTTATCGAGTTCGAGCTCGAGCTTGAGCTCAAGTCTACAAGTACGAACCACCTTGTTTATTATAAAAGAGAGAACATAATATTAATTTAAGGTAGTGTTATTTTAAAATGACAAATAGAGTGAACAATCAGGAGAGAAATGCAAAGTAATCACTTAATATAAAATACAAAATATTATTTTTAAAACTTTTTTAATACTTTGAAAATAAAGTTTTTAAATTTAATATATTTTAAGTATATTTTATATTAATATTTTTTTAAGCGAGCCGACTCACGAGCTAATGAGTCGAGTATGGGCTAGCTCAAGCTTGGCTTGTTAGCTCATTGAGCTCTATTCATGAGCCACTTATCGAGTCGAGCTAGAGCAGGCTCACAAGTTGGCTTGACTCTTATGCACCCCTAATCGTATGATCCCTTCTGACACCCAAATCTCTTAAAAGTCCTCATGAAATAGAAATCCTTCAGAACCTTAAAATCAATTACTTTTGATCACATGTTAGTGATCGACAGATGACAGTGATTCAAAACATCAACTACTTTATTCTAGCTTCCAATTTCGTGTTTATTCATAAATTGAAAGAAAGATAGAAACTTTACTCAGAAGGCATGGTTACCCTACATTTTGATCTGACAGTTTTTTTTAGTCTCATGACTTCATGATCTGTACCAAGAGTGAATTCACTGGCTAGTAGATAATGACTATAATAGCTAAGGGCTCTCACTATAACATAAAATTTCTTATTATATGTGAAATATTTTCACATTGAGACCAACGTTTCACTATAAAAGGCGATTATGTGTCCAACTTGCTCAGCACTGCTCCAATTTCTACATTGGGGGCATCTTGTTCTATCTCAAACATCTAATTGGAATTTCTTAGGGCTAAGGTGGGGTTCCTTCAATTCATCAAAATTAACCTATGTTTCATCTGGTCATAAAAACTTGTCGATTTTCAGGAGCTCTATTAGTAGAGCCGCCATGAAACTGAAAATTCTAATGAATCTCTTGTAGAATAATCAAATTATTAAACTGTCACACTTGTGGGAAAGACTGTGGGTTGGGCCAGTTCATAATAACCTTTATCTTGGTTGTGTTCACCTCAATACCAATTGTTGGAACAATATACCAAGAAAGCATATCTATGGCTGTTAAGAAGTGACACTTCTCTGGATTGCTATACTACTTATTTGTTCAAAGGACTTTAATGACTTATTGTAGATGTTGCAAATGGTCTTCCACAAAATGACTATACCCCAAAAGTTATTAGATTAAACAACCACATATTTTTTTTTATTTATGAATGCTAGAAAAATCTATTTCATCAGCCCCGCAAAGTTACTTAGGGTATTGGACAAGCCAAAAGACATGATTGTCTATTCATACAACACATCTCGAGTCTTGAAGTTGTCTTCCACTTGTCCCTGGGATGGTAGCCACTAAGGAGATTAATCATGGAGAATATGCTCGCTCCATGCAATTGATCTTGTAGAATGGAGATCCAGTATTTGATGGTGACCTTTTCATAACTCTACCATAAATTTACATGCATCACTACATATCTTTTCTTGGCACAATCAAAACTGGTTCAACATATGAATCTGTACTCTCACGAACCAGTCTTCTGTCAATCGGCCTCAACCTGTTCTTGCAACTTCTCATACACAACTGATTACATTCTGTAGGCTGGTTGGTTGAGGTGCATTGTTTCTGTAATAAGTCTTATTTGTTGTAGCAAAGTATTTCTCTGTGTAGATTAAGCTTTATGAACTATGTAACTCGTATAGATTCATAAAAAAATTTCGCATTCATGAACATTCAATTTTAATCATACAAATCAAATTGATTGCATAAACTTTTAAAACCAAGATCTTGAACAAGATAATTTTCAGAAGAATTGTAAACTATAATTAGGAGAAAACAGTATCTTGGTTCATGGTGATTTCTTATAGAAAATTTTCTGAAAGTGGGCTTTTCTCTCTTCGCCCCTAATCATTATTCTTCTTTTAATTTTTTTTAACGGAGAAAAAAAATAAATGGGGTAGGAGGAGGACCGGTAGTTGAAAAACAGTTATTTGGTCAAACGGCTTAAACATTTAATGATTAAACTCTCTTGACTGATAGTATTTAAATACATAATTAGTTATTAAATCATAAATTTAATAATAAAATAATTTGGGCCATTACACGTTATTTATAATCACGTTATTTCTATCATTCATTGCATTGGTTGTGAGGTTCAGCACTTTAAAACGTTATGTGCTTACTTTTGCAACAGTAAATTCTTACTGTAATGCCATAGTCTATTTTTTATTTTGTTCTGTATTTTTTACTATACTGCATTTTTGAATTCAACAGACATAAAAATTTCATTTTCTTATAGAAAACGAAAGAGGTGTGAATGCTGGTAGACTTGATATGGCTCGTCATAGCAGATGTAACATTCAGCAAATTGATCCTAGTGAAGTCAGAAAAGTGAAAGAAGCCTTAAAGAAGAGCTGTTTTGATCTAAGGAGGGCAGCGGAAGACCCCCTTCCAGAGGCGAAAGCTGTCGCAGCAGCTGTGTTGGATAGCATGTCTCGTGCCCATGCATTACTTGATGAAACTGACGGGCAAAGTTCTATGAAAAATCCAGACTTGATCGTTCCTCACGTTGAGCTGGTTGGTGGAGTTCCTGCTGTAGTGGAAACTAACGCTGGTGATTTGGAGAAAGAGAAGCGTAACTCATTTGATTTGAAGGAAGTAGAAGGAAATCAAATTATTGAAGAATGCAAAAATGATGCCGGGCCAAGCAAGACGAGAACGGTTGTGGCCAGTCACAGGCTTTTTGAAAGGAATCCAACTGCTCACACTAGCGAGGTGATTTCTTCTCGCATATTCTCTTATATGCTTGTTTGCTTATTCCTAAGGTGTATAGTGTGGTTAAGTTTCTCATAAATTTCCTGGATTGAGCCACCAATTAGATGATTTTGTTGATTTTGTGGACATGATTTTTCCTCATTTTATCCACCCTACATTTACCATGATCCAAATTAAATTTGTTACCATGACTTCTACTGACTAATTCCTTGATCAGGCAGTTGATCAGCTGTACTTGTGGTTGCATGGACAAGATTATCCTGCATGTTATTCTCTGTACAATATCGCATGATCCAGATCAAATTTGTTTTTCCATCTTCTTTCTGTTTTGAAGTCACATCAGATCATCATTAAGGTTTTGTTAGGGTTGAAGGAAAGTGAAGGAAACAAAATCAAATCCCAACAACAAATTGCTCGTTGATTATGAATCTGTTGCCATTGATTTGAGCTTTCCACCTTTTTTTTAATTTTTTTTTCAAGTTGAGACATGTCTTGGTTCTATATATAAAAATCAGTCTCTCTCTCTCTCACACACACACACACACACAAACACACACACACACACACACACACACACACACACACACACACACACATA